GCCAACCCACACCATTAAACACCCATGGAGGCTCCAATCCACATCTTTGCAGAGATCTGCCCATAAGTAGCCCTAGCCCACATATGGCCGGATCCAAACACTTCTCTACTGATTGCCTCTTAAGTCCTAACTATTGTTGTAAGTTGTGACATACTCTTCAGAAAAGAGATTTCATAGTGCAAAAAATGACACAGAAAAAACGAGAAACCAAGAGCTTGTGTACACGAAACAATACCTGTATCTCAGAGCATTGCTTCTCCACAAATGCTTTCAGCCGCTTTATATACTCCCTATCACTTTCCTCACTCTTCTTTTCCAATTCTGCTGGCACCACTGCCACCTTGCTCTTTGGATGACTGTAAACCTCAACGATTTTCTCTCTGATGTTCACCTCCAAGCTCCTAACAAGGTTTACAAATGGAGCATCAAAGATTGAGGAGAGAACCGGATGATCCTCATTTTTCTGATCCAATAAATTGTTCTCATCAACATCTTCAATCTCTACCATACTAGCAGAAGCAGATCTGGTTAATTGTTTACGGGGCTGAGTAGAACTCGCAGAGGTGAAAAGGAAGCTTTTCTGCATCTCATCAAACTTCAGAAAGTATGTCGTGAGCCCAACCTTCTGGCTTATAGAATCAACTATAGTAAAAGCATCCTTCCCACTTTCAACTGATTTGTTGTAGATTACACACTCCCCAAGAAGAACAGCTGCCAATCCCTTTATGTACACTGTAGTAGACGAATTGGAGACCAACTCAAGAAGATATGTGATGTGGGGACGTGAATCTAGGAAGCAATTCACAGCACTAGGGAAATCAGATAGCCAAGTGACCAGCAATTTCAAGATAATTGGTTCAACATATGAGTTTCCACTTGATTTTCCATCTTTGTTTTTCATGGAAGAGGCAAGGGCCAAGTATTTTACCACACGGTGCATTAGAGGCTCAGGAGCACCTAAAGATGGTGTAGGTGCCTCGAGTTCAATACGCAAAACCTGCAAATTGTTTCATAAGATTAGAACATTGTAAGAGTGATCTAGTAATTGCCCATACCATTCCAAAAGCAAGCAATCCCAATAAAAATTTTAACTTGACGACGATTTTACTTCTTTTTCTTTTTGACGAGTGATAATACAATAAAGCGAGCATCAAAGGTAATGCAAGTACATGGTTGGCATAAAATCGGTAAATCAAATAATTACTACATCAGAAGACAGATCTCAGAAGACGATATAACTGCATACCCTTTCCTTGCACTGGATATTGTCCTTCATTACATGAGAAAGAACACTAGCAGCTCGGCAGCATGTCTGCACCTCAATATATTAGCTAATGGAACAGATATATTCTAGTCTTTTCCAAAACTCAGATACTACTGAAGTATTACATTACCTCAAGATCACCATCATTCTCACTCAAGGTAAGACCTTGTAATAGCATGCTGCAAGAGAATCAAATTATTATAAAATTAATTAGCACAAGTAGCTTTTCCAACAAAGAAAGATGAAAAGAATAAGATGATCAAGCTTTAGCTGATGCAACAAAGGTTTGATAATTCAATCAAGCCTGAAATAATAAATAATAAACAGAGAATTTAGAAGCATGCAGTGAAAAAAGGCACATACAATACACAAACCTTCCAAAGGACATGTGCACATCTTCCTCAACAGGAGCATGTGCCATGGAATGAGGTTGAGGAATCAAAGTTGACGCTAACATAGTTTGGCCATCAGCATTTTTCTGATAAAAACCAGGTGGCAGAAAATTTATAACATAAAATTAGAAGTAAAAAGTACACGATCATGAAGCTGTAATTTTTGTATGCCAGTAATAAATTAAGTATGCCCACGAAGCACAGCAAAGTAATCAATGGTATAAGGAGCATATACACATTATCAACCTCACAAAAGCTCTTAAAAACATAATCTGCAGCAACAAATTCTTGCATACTGGATGTCCGCAAGATGATTCAAAGAATTGAGTTCAAAGCAGGTTCCTACGGCCCCTCTCCAAGCAATTTGCTTGAAAGGGCATCAAGATTCTTGGGATGTCCGGCAATCAGATTACCAATACATCGTAGTGCCTGACAAAGTGAACAAACCCTAAC